CCCCCGCCTCGCCCGCACCATGATCGCCGCGGCTTTCCTCGTCCTGCTGAGACCCTACAGCATCCAGTGCGCCCTCTTCCTCTTGTTGCTGCTGCTGGGCACCATCGCCACCATCGTCTTCTTCTGCTGCTGGCACCGCAAGCTCCAGAAAGGGAGGCATCCGATGAGATCGGTCTTTTCGGGTCGTTCCCGAAGCCGAGGTAGGGCGCGCCGCCACGGGGTTCCGGGCTTTGGGGCACGGTTCCAGCCGATTCGGGGAGACAGGCGGCTCCCCGCCTTCCCCGTGGCCGCCCCTGCCTGGCCCCAGCCGTGCCCACTCCCCGAGCTGGGCACGCTGTGCGTCTAACGCCCCTCGCCCCCTTTGCCCTCCCCTGCGTGCTGCTGTCTCCCGGGTTTGGATCCCCGCGGTGGTGCCCCGCAGGGAGGGAAGGACGAGACCGCGTTCTTGGTGTCAGTTTGCTGAAGCCCGAAGGGTCCGGCCAGCGCTGTCCGGGGCTGCGGCAGCCTCGCCTTCACCATCCCTCGCTGGAGCTCAGGGGTAAAAAGTCAGGCACGGAGAGTTTGGGCTCCCCAACTCCCTCCCCCCGAACTTTCCCGGAAACTTCTCACGGAGAAATCTTCTGGACACCGAGGGCCCAGTGCTCCTGCTCCCACCCCCAGGAGGCTCCCACCGAATTCGAGGTGTCGGGAATGTGCCTTCCCGACCCTCGACTCCCAGGTCAGTCAGTCATTAGTAACTCGGCCGGCGAAGAGCAAGGAGTTAAATGAAGTCTCATTTTTCTCTTTTCTCTCCAGATGCTGTTTTGAGATCTCACCACTTTCGTTCCGAGGTAATTTATTTAGCGCGCACGCTCAAGGTCAGAAGAAGTTCTCTTTCCCGAGTTCCAATATTAATCATATGCGTGTTAAGAAACCAGTAGGGCATTGAATGGCGAGCTTGCTTGTCAGTCTCCTAGCTGAAAGTGACACGTTTCTTTTTGACTGATTCCCTATGAGTGCCCAGCAAACGGCTTTAGCAAATTTCTCTTGTAGTGGAGAAACGTTTCCAAGAGGAAAAAGGCAGCCCGTCAAAGCTCTGCAGACCTTAGAAAACTAGGCAACCCCCTCGGGTACCCCCCACCCACTGTGGGAGCTTTTCTGTCCTCTCAATAAATCTGCTTTCTCAAAAAAAAAAAAAAAGAGAAAGAGAGAGAGAAAGGAGAAAGAAAGAAAGAAAACTTAGCCACGGGGTGGATGTCTGCTCAGTTTACAGTCATTTGCTGGTGGAACGTTCTATGGGTTCTGTCACTTGACTCTGGGTGAGCACTTGTATAAATGAGGAGGTTAGTGTGGAACAATTTGATTCGTTTGCATTTCCTTTTAGATTTTCAAGTTTACATTCCCGATCTCTCGTAAAGCTCTTTATTTTTTATTGGGGCCTGTCTGGTGGTTTTTGCAAAGTGACGGTGGTGGTGTGTGCTTAAGTGCTGGTGCTGGTTTCCACTCTGAAAACTGGACCATCCCTTAGAGCAGATTGTTCTGCGCTGCATCCTAGAGAGAGCCGGTGAAACTGCTGTAGGACCAGCTACACTGAGGACCCAGCAAAACAAAAAAGCACAAGCTCTTTCTGTCTCTGACCCAGCATTTCTCTGGAAGTTTTTGGGCCAACTCCCACTTAGCGTAAGATAATTTTCCCTCTTCTTGGGAAAGTTGCACCCAGCCAGGCTTGGAGAATACTGCTTGGTGTAGTTTACTCCTCTTGGCAAAGACTTCATAGCAAAACACCCTCCACTTACCTGAACCTATTTCACCTTTCCTTTCACTAGTTAATCAAAAGTATTATGGCACTCTAGATGTTTTATTGGCTTCTGGTTGCTTAAAAGCTTTCACTACATTATTGCAATATCATTATAGTTTTGCACAATGAGTAATTCTACAGCACATAGCCCTTGAGGGCGAAAACTTTGGTCTCAATTTAGGATTCCCGAGAGAATAACCAGTCAGATAATCAGAGGTTCCATTCCTGGCTTTTCATTAACTAGCTGTGTGTGCCAGAACACTCCCTTAACTTCTCAGCACCTCAGTTTCTTCCCCATCTGTAAAATAGGGCCAAGAGTACCTTGCAGGGTTGTGGAGGTTGAGGGCAATGATAGGCAATTATGTAAAGAAAAATTTCTACTTCGTTTGTAGTAAGTATTCACTTGGTAGCTATTGTTATATTTTGTAAAATTGAATCTTTAAATGTATAAAAATAAAAGATATGTGTGCAGATTTTCAAGTTGTTATTAAATGAATTAACTCAAGTTTTTGGAAAACAACATAAATGGTGTCTACTGTGAAGCGACCGTTTTTTGGAGATGGGATTAATTCAATAGAACAACCCATTTAGATGACAGAAAGGAAATAATGGTCAGAGTGCAAGCATCAGAATGTAAGATTCTGATTTTAAAAAGAGATCATCAGTTCCATGTGTGTAAACGATAAAACCAGAATAATAATCCTGTTACTGATTATTACACTAGCCATCAGGCATTTCAACACACAAACAGTAGAAATGAGCTATGACTATGTCTTGTTTATTATCACTCAGTTGAATGTCTGTCCTGAGCTTGCATTTGGTTAGGAAGACTAGGGGTGGTTGTCTAATGCCTTAACTTATTTCAGGAGGTTACTGGTAGAGTTTGACATCTTTGGGTATATTTGATATTTGCCTTGTCTACTAGACTGTGAGCTCTTTGAGGGCAGGGACCACGTCTCTCTTGTTCAGGGATGTATTCCTACTGCTTGGTTCAGTACCTTGTATATAGTGGGTTATAAATAAATATTTATTGAATGAATGAATGAAAAAAAATCTCTTCATGGGTGCTAGTTCCTGGAACTGGGCAAATAGAATTCAGAGTTGAGCAAAAAAGAAAAACAAACATTCTTAGAACATTGCTCAGAATTCAACAGTTGCTGAATCTCAACTCTTATTTGATTTTTCCAGACTTTTAAAAATTGCCCTGGAGTTTGTATAAAAATGTGAGTCACCAATGAAAACAAAATGGATTTGGTTAGAATATTTTTTTCGAAGGTAGTTAAATGCAATGTTTGCTTAATTTGTTGATGGGCTACCCATCAGAAAGTTTCTTTGATAAATTACTCAAAGAATATTATTTTATAAGTAAAAATCCCGAGACTGTGTTGCATAAGAATGTCATATTTCATAACTGCTTTGTTTACCACAAATGAAACATTTTTCCCCTAAGGAACACATAGGGAATTGTTTTTTGTTTTTGTCTTTTTCTTCAACCAATATGCCATTTTCTGCAAGGTTTTCACCTCTGAATTTACTTGGATTCTAGCATCTTTAAAAAAATAAAATTTGAATACTATCATGGATATTCTTGTTGCTTTTTAGTAGCAGCTGTTGCAAAATAATAATCAAAGAAAATATTTTGATTTTCTGACAAGTCATAATCATATTGTACTAAGTTCTTTCTGTTTCTCATTCCAATCTCAGTAAGTAGATAATTCACTTCCAGCATTTCTACAGTGGTCAATGGTCAGTTGAGAAAAATGAGTTTAGGATTTGCTGATTCACTTTGAAACATGAAAGAGCTTTGGGGACGCCCCTGAACAGATGAAGAAGTTTGAGTAGCACTTTGTTGCTTTACTTGGCAGAGGGTATTACTTCTGCTGCCCACATGCCCAGGAAAGAGTCCAGCTGCACAGGAAGTTTCAGCTGGTTCCTTCTCAGGTAGTCAGAGAACTACTTCTCAAGAGGAAAAACCGTGGCACCAGCACTCAGTTTGTTTTGAAGAAATTCTGCAGTGGGGTGAGGGGGTGTACAAAAACAAAATAACAAAAACAATGTCAACAAAACCACCTCTCTTATTTGAGGAGCTCTAGATTTTTTCTCCTCAACAAGTAAATAGTAAACACATTCCTTCAATTCAGTTTCTTCCTCATGAAGCTAGAAATAAATAATAAGATGTTTATAATGTGTTTTGAGGCCAGGTGCAATGGCTCATGCCTGTAATCCTAACAATTTGGGAGGCCGATGCAGGAGGATTGCTTGAGCCCAGGAGTTCGAGACTAGTCTAGGCAATATAGTAATATAGTGAGACCTTGTTTCTACAAAAAAAAAATTTAAAAATTAGCTGGGTGAGGTGGCGTGTACCTTTAGTCCCAGCTACTCAGGAGGCTGAGGCTGAAAGATTGTCTGAGCCCAGGAAGTTGAGGTTGCGATGATCCATGATCATGCCACTATACTCCAGCCTAGGCGACAGTGAGATCCCGACTCCAAAAAAAAAAAAAAAAGAGGGAGAGGAAGAAAGATGTTTTGGAATCATAACGACCGCCAACCCTTTTTATGTTCAGATACTTGCAAACTTTACTGGATTTTTAGTAGCCCTCTAAATTTTAATAAATAGAATATGAGAATGAGAAATTATTAATCCATCTAGCAAGTCGTGACCAGTGTAACCCCATTTCACTAATAGGTTTTTTTTTTTTTTTTGAAAAGGCCCAATAATGCAGAAATACGTTTTGTGTATACATAGGAAAAACTTGTACAATGGTTTTTGTTTGTTTGTTTTTTGGTTCTGAACTGCTAATGAAAAGAAGTGATTTCACATTGAGGGAGGACGGTCTAGAAATCAGTTGTTCATTCTGGCTTCTAGAATTCTGTTATCAAAGAAGTATACTTTTCCTGAGTATTTACAATGTTTTATGCTGTGTCTTTAAACAATGGTAAACTGTTACCCTAGATTCCTGTGGTGAAAGTCAGGCAGTGATAATCCTGATTTTAAGGAAATTTCAGAAAGTGATATGGGTAATTGAGGTACCATTAGATCATAAGAAAGAGTCTTGGGAGTACTTCAGCAGAATGAAGACAATTATAATGCCATTAGAGAGTACCCAGAGTGAATAGTGGTAAATGATCCCTATTCATCAGCTCAGTGGCATAAAGGAAGCCTTGTTTGGTGTAAGGAAGGGGAAGAGTGTGTTTTATATCTACCAGTGTTTGAGTAAATACCTTCACTTCCCATTTCAGTCAAAGGAACCAAGAGTTAACTCAAGCAGTTCCCGAAGAGTCACATAGCAAGATAAGGGCTGAGTAAGACAAGAATTCCCTGGCCACATTTTGTCTGTCCTGTGGTGTTTAACTGTGTCACTCACAGCTCAGAGAATAATATGCCCAAAATTTTCACTGAAAGAGACAAATTGAGTGAGTTTTTAGTGGACTTTTCTTACCAAACTGATTAGGCAAATCCTTTAGTTGCTTCCAGTGATTTTCCGAGTTATCCTGGATGAACAATGGTCCCTTTTGGCTTCATCATGTTCCCAGAGTGTCCCTGTACCAAACCATGGGAGAATGGCCAGAAACATAACCACATTTCACAGCTTCTCATTACATTTGCATCTTTCAGTAAGAATTACCCAATTTAGTGGATTAGGGGAAATGATAGTTTATTATTGAGCTATCTTTTGTAATCAGGCTATCCTTATGAATACATTCTTTGTCTAGAGTTAAATTCTAGGTCTAAATTAGTTTATACTAATTAAGTCAGTTGTTAGCCATAACTGTAGTGTTCACTTAGTGTCACCCAATTATTTTTAAAATAATCACTTTTTTCTTTCTGTTCAAGTTTCTATGTTAGACACTAAGACTAACAAATGACCCTTGCCCTTGACAGTTACTTCTAGGCCACTCCTAATATCAGTGCTGAAATTTTAGAGTTACTGGTTTCTTCTGTTGTGGTAACTGAATGTTATGCTGTTTCCAAGTATGAATCACCAATGTGGAGAGAGCATCAGAGACTGTGGTATACAAGGAATCAGCCAAAACATATGGAAGACAGACAGA